TTATAAAAGCACGGATGACCGCGATTGGCCCATATGTTGTAGTCTTTTGGACGCTGAGTCGACTGGTTTTGGTCCGAAAAGGCTGCGATGCAGCGTCCGCCCCTAATTCCCAATCGAACATGGTTGAACAAGCGGTCACGTGCTCCTGCGTACACCAGTCAGCTGGTCACCGTGCCTGCAGGGTACAACTTACAGCCTGTTTTGACCTTTTTTGGGTGCAGTCCTGTCACTCGAGTTGAACCTTGGTGTGAAAGTTGTCGCCTGCTGGCGTGGTGACCAGGTGATTTTGGCACCCAGGAGCACGTGACCGCTTCTTCAACCATGTTCGATTGGGAATAAAGGAGGAACGCTGCATCGCAGCCTTTTCGGACCAAAACCAGTCGACTCAGCGTCCAAAAGACTACAACATATGGGCCAATCGCGGTCATCCGTGCTTTTATAAGAACGAAATGGCGCTTTTAGTGACATTTTGCATACAAATCCCCATCTAGTAGGGCGCAGTCACCCAGTTTCAGTGGAAGTGCGCGAGTTCGATTGGGATTCAAGTAGGAAGGGAGCGTCTCAGCTTTCTCGGACCAAGACCATTCGACTCAGCACCCCGAAGACTACAACTGGTGAAATTTTGATTTTTGCCTTAACTTCCCCTTTAATATTTTTTGCACGTGCGTGCGGAACGGGTACGAGGGCAGTGTGCTGTGGTTGAAAGTGCTGTTGCTGTGATTCTGCAGGTCATTGTTTTTCTTCTTGCCAAGTGTGCAGCTGCCCAAAATTTTTTCTCCGTCGTGTAGATCGGCCTGGTGCTGTTCTTTTCTGTTGCCAACATGAGTGGTCGGAAGGCAAAAACTGTGAACTCTGGTCGTGGTAGAGGTAGAGGCAAGAGAGGAGGCGCTCGTGCCTCAGCCGTATTTGAGTTTCCCGACTCCGATAGGGTCGGAACCACGTCGTCGTCGTCCGAGTACGAAACGGCAGTGGAACACCAGCCCTCGGCACCCCCAACTGCAGCTCCTCAACAGGCTGGTGCTGCTGCGTCCAAGGCAGCCACGGAGTTCGAGAGCGAGCAAGAGCTCTTGGGCATGAAGATCCGAATGCTGGAAAGAGGCATGGAAAGGTTGGCAGAACGAGGCAGGTCGCTGAAAAGAAGACGAGGGGGAAATTCCCCTGATGCAAGATCATCGTCGTCCTCGTCCTCGTCCTCCTCAGAGTCGAGATCAAGATCCCGCTCGCCGAGGCAAAAAAGGGAAGTCCGGAGCACCCACGGAGCTGAACTGGAAAACGACCAGCTATGCAAAACAGTTTGCATTGAACGAGGAATTGCTGGACATCATTGCCTCAATGAAGTCGAAGTCGAAGAGAAAAAGGAGAAGAGCAGCGAAAAAAGGTGAGCGTGTACTTAGAGAGAGGCAGGAGTGGCTTGTTGTCGCTGAAAACCATGGCCACCAGGTGGCGACTGCATTCCAAGGAGGCAACCTGCTCATGGACCTGGTGACAGGCTCCAAAAAGCAGAAGCGGCTGCAGGCCGCAATCCAAGCAGAAGGGGTGAAAAAGAAAGCGGCCGGAGGTGTGCGTAGCCTAGGTTCGGTCGATGCTAATGTTCAGGCAGGGCAGGGGATGGGGATCCCACCTCGTCCACATCCAGGTCCCATTCAGCATATGCCAGGTAACTTTCGGCCCCCTCCGGTGTGCCACAGATGTGGGCAGCCAGGGCATTTCGTCAGAGTGTGCACGCAGCAGCCGACGGCCGCTGGCCAGCAAAATCGGCGGCCAATGTAAGAAGGATACGAACACGTCGAGGAGTGCAGCAATATTTGACATAGCTATGTTGTATAGTTCATACTCTGATTGATATAATAATTCAGTGTGGCTAGTTCTAGACCGATGTCATATTGTGCGTCTGATTTCATAAATTGTGAATACAATACAATACAACCATCAAAAGTTTATATAAGAACATTTACTGCGGAAGTGCTGCGTGTCTTTGTGTGCTGTATGTTATATCTGCAGGTAGCACCGGGTGCTACGCTAAGCTGCTGGGATCCTGGATCCGAAGTGCCGGGCACCAGGTGCCATGTTGTTGATGCTGCTGTGGCTGCTGGTGAGGGATAGTGATCTGCCCGTTGAGACGCGAACTGCCACCGTGTAGACGGGGACAGCGCACATCGTGACTAGCCAAAGTATTCGGCGACCTCTACCGAGTCTCCTGCTCCTATCATGGATAGGGTACTAAACCCGGCTATGCTTTGTGCGTCTTGTGCAGCAGGTCTGCATTCACCGCATGTTCAAATGGCTGCTGTGTGTGATAGAGCTGGGTGTGCATGCTGATGCTCGTGCAAACAAATTTGGAGCAGAGAATCTGCTTTAATTCATATTTGCTTTGTTTTCCTAGCTTACTATTGCCGTGGCTGGCTCAACGCCCTTGTCTCAGGGGATTCTGTCCCTGCATTAGCTATGCTTATCACATGCTATGAGATTGTGTCTAATAATAATAATAATAAAGAAACAAGCCTGGAGAGTCTGGAGGCAAGACCCCGATAGCTTGCAACAGAAAGAAACCTTCCTAGCATCCGTTACACATTATGTGCATGTTCTGCAACATGCCCAACAGCAATGCAAAGAGCGAGCTTCTAGAAAGCTGTCATCTGGCTCCTTGCAAGACAAGCAATGGTGGACAGCTATTAAGCGGGCTGCTGTTGTTACCCGCCAAAGCGATATACCTGTTCTGGTCGACAGATCTGGACACGAGCACACCACTGCGAGGGAGAAAGCCGAGTGCTTTGCCCAATACTTTGCCATGAAGTGCAGCCTCGGCTCCAACGATTTATCTGCCTCTGATCAGCTCCCTGCTATGGAAATTGATGCCTCGGCACCTCAGATCACAGCCATCCACTTTCGTCCAGTCAATGTCCGTCGTCAACTAGCGGCGCTAAATCCGCACAAGGCCACTGGCCCCGATTGCATATCAGCGAGAGCCCTCAAGGAATGCCACAGGGAGCTGGCAGAGCCTGTGCTCGCTTGTTCTCTTGCTGCTTCAGAGCAGGGGTCCAGCCAGCTTCCTGGAAACTAGCCCATGTGTCCCCCATTCACAAGAAGTCTTCCAACAGTCCAAGTCAATTGTTTCGAATTATCGACCTGTGTCTCTCCTCAGCATCCTGTCGAAACGTAATGGAGAGGATAGTCAACTCCCAGCTTCTTCTTGGAAAGCCACCGTCTGCTGAATACTCGTCAGTACGGTTTTCGTCGTGGCAACGGAGCTGCAGACCTCCTGACTGTCCTACAGTATGAGTGGGCCAATGCCATGGCACAAGGTGGAGCTATGCAAGCAGTTGCCGTGGACATAGCGGGGGCTTTTGACAAGGTGTCTAATGCTGGCGTGCTTTACAAGGCCCGCCAGCTGGGGATAGGGTGTTCACTACCTGCAATGCTTACCCACTACCTGCAATGTCATGGCTTACCCACTACCTGCAATGTCATGGCTTACCCACTACCTGCAATGTCATGGCTTACCCACTACTTGCAATGTCATGGCTTACCCACTACCTGCAATGTCATGGCTTACCCACTACCTGCAATGTCATGGCTTACCCACTACCTGCAATGTCATGGCTTACCCACTACCTGCAATGCTTACCCACTACCTGCAATGCTTACCCACTACCTGCAATGCTTACCCACTACCTGCAATGCTTACCCACTACCTGCAATGTCGCACCATTAAAGTTGTTGTTCATGGCCAGAGTTCATCGGTGCACCCCGTCCAGTCTGGCGTCACACAAGGTAGTAACCTTGGACCTACATAAGTCATTGTTCCTCGTGTACGTAAACGACATTTTAAGCTGCTTGTCGCATGGCACAAACCTGAACACTTTTGCTGATGATACGACTTTGTACTCCCTCCTCGACCAAGCCTCGAATGCCTCACTACAACGCAGCCTAGATGAGCTTCACGCCTGGGGCAAGAGATGGAAAATTGCGTTTGAGCCATCGAAATCGCAAACAGTCACTCTATCGCACCAGCGGAAGGATACAGCGACTCCCCAGCTGTCATTCGGCGGAACTCCTCTCCCCCACCAGATGAATCTGTGAAGGTGCTCGGAGTGACGTTTGATTCTAAACTGAGCTACAGACTCCACCTTCGGCAAGTTGCATCACGTGCGAAGCAGCGGCTGGGCCTCCTGCGGAAGGCAGCACCCCTCCTCAGTCACGCGGGCAGGGTGACTGTCTACAAAGGATTCGTCCGGCCAATGCTGGAATTTGCCCCCCTTGCGTGGATGGGATCAGCTACCTCACACCTGGCCATGCTGGATGCTGTCCAGCTCCGCTCCCTAAATGTCATTGGCTCTGGTTAGGGTCCAGCGGATAATGCTCCAAAATGTTCGTATAAAGCTAACCATAATGCTCCAAATACTGCCTTATAATTCTGATTATAATGCTTCAGCAAGGGATATAATGCTCTTGGTTTGGGACAAAAATGGAAGAAAGTCTGCACATTGTCAAACTTCCAGGAAATTATGCATATCGTCGATCCGCATCTGAAGTTGCCACCTTATCTCTCATGAGCTCCACCACTTCTTAGCACTATAAGACATGATCGCTTCTCCATTGATTGCTCTCCACTCCAACTTTCGCTGAGACGCTCCCTTCCTACTTTAATCCCAATCGAACTCGCGCACTTCCACCGAAACTGGGTGGCTGTGCCCTACTAGATGGGGATTTGTATGCAAAATGTCACTAAAAGCGCCATTTCGTTCTTATAAAAGCATGGATGACCGCGATTGGCCCATATGTTGTAGTCTTTTGGACGCTGAGTCGACTGGTTTTGGTCCGAAAAGGCTGCGATGCAGCGTTCGGCCCTTATTCCCAATCGAACATGCTTGAACAAGCGGTCACATGCTCCTGCGTACACCAGTCTGGCAGCAGGATATGACTGATAGCAAGAGTCCATAACGAGGTTATGGACTCTTGCTGATACTGATGGTGATGACGAGTAGTAGAACATTACCGCG